CAGCTGGCCAACCTCCCACGTCCCTCCCTGGCATCAGTCATGCACAGTTGGGGTCCCTCGGCCTGGCCTGTGTCCTCTTGCAATCCGGGACCCCTCAGGGGATGTCGGAGAGCCAGTTTTGGCCCAATCCCGCAGGCCAGGCCAAGGGATCCCATTGGTGTACAAATTCGTGCACTGAGCCTCTAGTTAGTTGATATTGTTCCCTGATTGCTCCCATAGCTCTCTAATTTTTTTAGTATGATTTCTATAACTTATTCAACTTTGCTTATTACATCAGGAATGATGGCCTGTAGCTACCTACAACATCTTACCTAGAAGTGGATCCAATTTTAGATCACCTTTAAGTTCTCTCTGTGATACATTAATAATACCTTACCTAGAGTGTTTGTATCTTTTACTGTACTTATTAGGTATTTTATATTTTTGATAATATTATGTATGATATGATTTTTAGCTTTCAATTTTATAACTTCTTTTTTTAAAATTAAATCTTAATTGTTGAAAGTATTACATGTCCCTTCCTTCCCCTCTCCCCCCATTGACCCCTTCTAGCCCACCCCAGCTTTCACCACCCTATTGTCTGTGTTCATGGGTTATGCATATATGTATACAAGTTCTTTGGTTGATTTCTTCCCACCCACCCACAATTTTATAACTTCTGATACTAAAAAATGTGTATTTTTAAAAATTTGATTTTATACCTGGCAACTTTTTAAAAAATATATTTTTATTGATTTCAGAGAGGAAGGGAGAGATAGAAACATCAATGATGAGAGAGAAGCATTGATCAGCTGTCTTCTGCACACCCCCCTCTGGGGACCAAGCCTGCAACCCAGGCATATACCCTTGACCGGAATCAAGCCTGCAACCCTTCAGTCCGCAGGCCAACACTATCCACTGAGCCACGCTGGCTAGGGCTCTGGCAACTTTTTTAAAAGCTTATTCTAATACCTTATCTGTAGATTGTTTTCGATTTTCTATCAAAATTATATCAAATATAAAAAGTGACAGTATTATTTCTTCTTCTCTTATCCTGATTTCTTTTTCCTGTTTTAACTGCTGATACCTTTTAAGACCTTTACTAAAATGTTCAGTAGAAATGGTAAGAGTTCGCATTCTTATTTTGTTCCTAATCTCACAATGAACAATTACTACATTTCACAATAATTAGGATAGTTTCTCTAAAGTTGTTTTGTAGTTTCCCTTTGCAACAAATTTTATACCTGATTATTACATTTTATCAAATGTTTAATCTGACCATATTGATGTAATTGTATGCATTTTATCCTTATTTTTTAATATATATATTTTATTGATTTTTTACAGAGAGGAAGGGAGAGAGATAGTTAGAAACATCGATCAGCTGCCTCCTGCACATCTCCTACTGGGGATGTGCCCGCACCCAGGTACATGCCCTTAACCAGAATCGAACCTGGGACCTTTCAGTCCGCAGGCCGACGCTCTATCCACTGAGCCAAACCGGTCTCGGCTTATCCTTATTTTATTGGTGGTGGTGAATCATATTGATTGATTTTTGAATGTTAACTTATCTTGCATTTCTGGAGTAAACCTCTTTGGTAGGAATGCTCGCTCTCTCTCTCTCTCTCTCTCGCGCGCGCGCGCGCACTCACACACACACACACACACACACACACACACATTTGGTTTTCTAACATTTTGTTTAGGATTTTTTTAAAATATATATTTTTATTGATTTCAGAGAGGAAGGGAGAGGAGAGAATGATAGAAACATCAATGATGAGACTCATTGATTGGCTGTCTCCTGCACGCCTCCTACTGGGGATCGAGTCCACAACCCAGGCATGTGCCCTTGACCAGAATCGAACCCGGGACCCTTCAGTCTACAGGCTGACGCTGAGCCAAACCAGCTGGGGCTTATTTAGGATTTTTGCTTTTATATTTATAAGAGTTATTGGCCTATTACTTTCTTTTTTCATGATTGTTTTTTCAATTATTGAATAGTAGGCAGAGGGTATAAATTCAAAAGTTCTTTTGTTCTTGTGATATAGATATGAATCGAATATAATATACTATTACTCCATTTTTAAAGTAAACTATTTTTGAATAATTTTAGGTTTACAGAAAATACCTAATCTAATAAAACAGAAACATGGTAATTGGCATACGACCGCTACCCTTCCCATTGGCTAATCAGGGCGATATGCAAATTAACTGTCAGCCAAGATGGTGCCGGCAGCCAGGCAACTGAGAACAGGAGGCTTGGTTTCCCCAGCGATGAGGAAGCCAAGGTTCCCCGTCTGCAGCTACGGGGGGCTCGGGAACAGTGGAGCAGACAGGCCTTCTGGCCCGGGATCAGCGGATGTTATCCTAGCCTTTTTATATCATCTACACTAATAAAAAAGAAACATGGTAATTGGTGTACAACTGCTACCCTTCCCATTGACTAATCAGCGAGATATGCAAATTAACTGACAGCCAAGATGGCGGCCGGCAGCCAGGCAGCTGAGAACAGGAGGCTTGGTTGCCCCAGGGATGGAGGAAGCCAAGGTTCCCCATCTACAGCTGCGGGGCTCTGAGCTCCTGAAGCAACAACTCCAAAAGATACAATGTTTCAATTATAGAAGGTAAAAGATGGTGGTTAATTTGCATACTCAGGCTCCAAGCAGAGCGAAGCCAAAGAGCCCTGAAGCAGCAGGGCAGCGAGGCCTCAGGACCCCGTGATCAGCGGAGCCGCGAGGCCTCAGGACCGCGGGATCAGTGGAGCAAGGAGACCTCCCAGCACCGGGATCAGCGTGACAGGGGGCAGCGACCAAACCCCTGATTGCCCAGCAGCTCTGTGCGTGACAGCGGGGAGCTCTTCAACCCCCTGATGGGCCCTGCTCTGTGTGTGACGGGGTGGCACCGCAACCTCCCTATCGACCCTGCCTTGAGTGTGACGGGGCGGTGCCCCAACCCCCCAACCAGCCCTACCCTGAGCATGACTGAGGGTGGCATCGCAACCTCCCGATCCGCCCTGCACTGTGCATGACAGGGGGCGGCACCCCAACTCCCCAATCGGCCCTGTTCTGAGCCCAACCAGGGGCTGCACATAGGTATTGGGCCTGCCCTCTGCCACCCGGGAGCAGGCCTAAGCCAGCAGGTCGTTATCTCCGGAGGGGTCCCAGACTGCGAGAGGGCACAGGCCGGGCTGAGGGACCTCCCCCCCGTGCACAAATGTTTGTGCACCGGGTCTCTAGTATAAATATAATAGAAGTCTCTGTACCCCTCCCTAAGTTTTTTCTATTGTTAACATCTATTAGCATAGTATCTTTGTCAAAATTAAGAAGCGTACATTTGTATATTACTATTCACTAAACTCCAGACTTTATTTGGATTTTACATATTTTTCCATTAATGACCTTTTTTTGGTTCTTGAACCCAATTCAGTATATCACTTTCAATTTAGTTAGTTGTCATATCTCTTCTTAGTCTCCTCTGGTCTATGATCGTTCATCATTGCTTATCTTGAGGAATAGTGGTCAGATATTTTGTAAAATGACCCTCAATCTGGGTTTGACTGGTGCTTTTCTCATGATTAGACTGGAGCAAAGAATACCACAGAAGGGAAGTACCCTTCTCATCACATCATAGTAGAGTATGTGACATCCACATTACATCACTGGTGATGTATACCTTTATTACTTGGGTAAATAACATGGTGTTTGCCAGGTTTCTCCATTGTAAGTTACTATTTCTCCCTTTTTATATTTTGTTTGGAATTCAGTCACTAAATTCAATCTATACTCAAGGAAGGAGAGATTAAACTTTACCCCTTGGGCTAGGGTGAGGGGGTAGTGGTATCTACATATATTATTTGGAACTCTTCAGTAAATAAGATTTGTATTTGTCTTTTCTCTCCTATTACTTACTAGAGGCCCAGTGCATGAAATTCATGCACTCACAGCTGGGTGGGAGGGGGGGGGTTTCCCTCAGCTTGGCCTGTGCCCTTTTGCAGTCCAGGAGCCCTCAGGGGATGTCTGACCGATGGCTTAGGCCCACTCCTCATGGGTTGGACAGCAGTTGGACATCCTTAGTCCTGCTGCGGAGGTGGGAGAGGCTCCTGCCACCGCTGCTGCACTGGCCAGCCGTGAGCCCGGCTTCTGGCTAAGCAGTGCTCCCCTTGTGGGAGCGCACTGACCACCAGGGGGCAGCTCCTACCTTGAGCGTCTGCCCTCTGATGGTCAGTGCTTGTCATAGCGACCAGTTGTTCTGCCATTGGGTCAATTTGCATGTTAGCCTTTTATTATATAGGATAGGATTCAGTCATTACTCCATTCTGTTTGACTATGAATGTTCTATAATCTTAAAATGTTATTGTAACACTAGTTATTATAACATTGAAAACTTCTGGTTCCCCCACTGACTTCTTGAGGGAAGACTTTGTTTCTTATTTATCTTTGTATCTATACATTTAGTACAGTCCTCTAACTTACAGTGAACCTCTGGTAATTTTTAAAAAATATATATTTTATTAATTTTTTACAGAGAGGAAGGGAGAGAGATAGAGAGTTAGAAACATCGATGAGAGAGAAACATCGATCAGCTGCCTCCTGCACATCTCCCACTGGGGATGTGCCCTCAACCAAGGTACATGCCCTTGCCTGGAATCGAACCTGAGACCTTTCAGTCCGCAGGCTAACGCTCTATCCACTGAGCCAAACTGGTTTTGGCACTTCTGGTAATTTTTTAAAAAATGAATGTATTTTCACTTGAACTAAAAAGTACTCTTTCCTCAGCTAAATTACATAATAGCATTCTAAATTGAAATTAAAAGTAGATTTTAAAAGTAAACTCATGTGTGTTTGCATTGTAAGTATCCAAGAAAGTGAAGGCAGCTACAGAAATAACCATTTCTCGTGTCTGCGCAAAACATTCCCTGAAACTACTTAAATATACCTTGAAGCCACTTTTGGAAAGATATTATGGCATTTTATAAGCCAAGGATATGACCTGCTGTGTCCTTTCTCTTATTTGCTCAGATCACTGGAGAAGGTTAAGATTCCACTTTCCGCCTCTAGAAAATTATCTGATGCAGTCACTCAGATTACAACAGAAAGTCCAGGAAAAGCTATGTTTTCATCTCAGATTTTTATTAATGCTGACGATGGTCAACGTGAAATTCCAGAGCTTAGTTCCCAGAAGCTGGACAAAGCTCCTAACAAGTTTGCTTCATCATCTTCAGTCCAACAGATTGCTGTTCCTCGTGACACTAACAAAGGTAAGAGAATGTGATTGTATTTTAGGTCAGATTACCTACTTTTATGTGTAATTATCTTAGAAATTTGTGATTGTGTCTTTCTAGTCAGAAAACCTAATTTTACTCGTAAACCTTAGAGCCACATGATTATATTTATCTTTTATAAAAAGAATGTGATTATTATGTTTTTATCTTAATTTCCAGTAGAGTTAACATATATGGAACTCATGTTGCTTATGGTTGACATGCTGCTTATTACTTGTAATAAGAAAAATATTTCAGAAAAACTTGAAAACTATAGAGGTTTGATTTTAGGTGGGCAGGTGAATTATTGGCATTTTGTCTTATAGTAAATGTTACGCTTTATAATAAATAGATACAAATATATATAACAATGCAAATACAATATCATAAAACAATGACCATGGACCCAGGTTGGCTGTGGCTCTGCTGCCTTTGAAACATGGAATTCAAGGTTACCTTGAATTCACTATCACAGTCAACTGGAAGCAAGTGTCTGAAAGTTTTTATGGGCTAGGCCTGAAAGTGTCCGAAATTATTTTTTATAGGCTAAGAATAGTTTAGCTGTGTTTTCCACAGTGAAGAGACGGATTTTGGTAAGCAACTAGTCATCTTATTTAGAGTGCTGTGCTATTATTGAGACAGTAACTTTAATAGTGCTTATCCTATCTAATAATAGAGAAACATGGTAATTAACCGTAACTTCGCTACCCTTCCCATTGGCCGATCAGTGAGATATGCAAATTAACTGCCAACCAAGATGGCAGCTGGCAGCCAGGCAGCTGAAGTGAACAGGAGGAGGCTTGCTTGCTCCAGTGATGGAGGAAGCCAAGGTTCCCCGCCTGCCGCTGCCAGCCTCTGAGTTTGCACTCTAAGCAACTATGTTGCAATTATAGAACCTAAACAAACTCCAGAAACCTGCTTTCAGCCGTCAGAGCTGGAGCGAGCAGGACTGCAACAGTGTTACAATTATAGAACCCAAACAAACCAGATACCTGCTTTCAGCAACCCAGGTCTCAGAGCTGGAGCCGAGCCTCAGAGCTAAAGCCGGCTCTCAGTTCCAGTGACAGCCATAGAAGGTAAATAAATCCCAGAATAAAAAAAGAAAAAGAAAAAAAGGAGAGGTTGGGAGCTTCAGTCACCCACCAGCCTGAAAACGGGCCCTCAGCCCCTCACCCAGACTGGCAAGGCACCCCAGTGGGGACACCCACCCCGAAGAGGGTGTGACCAGCTGCAAACAGCCATCATCCCCTCATCCAGGCTGGCCAGGCACCCAAGCGGGACCCCTGCCCTGATCCGGGACACCCTTCAGGGCAAACCAGCCGGCCCCCACCCATGCACCAGACCTCCATCCTATATAGTAAAAGGGTAATATGCAAACTGACCCTAACAGCAGAAAGACTGGGAATGACTGGTCACTATGACACACACTGGCCACCAGAGGGCAGACTCTCAATGCAGGAGCTGCCCTCTGGTGGTCAGGTCGCTCTCACATGGGAGGAGCTCTGCTCAGCCACAAGCCAAGCTGATGGCTGCCAGTACAGCAGTGGTGGTGGGAGCCTCTCCTGCCTCCTCAGCAGCGCTAAGGATGTCTGACTGCAGTTTAGGCCTGCTCCCTGCTGGCAAGTGGACATCCCCCGAGGGCTGCCGGGCTCCCAGAGGGATGTCTGATTGCCATCTTAGGCCCAATCCCCCGGGGAGCGGGCCTCAGCCAGCATGTGGTCATCCCCTGAGGGGTCCCAGACTGCGAGAGGGTACAGGCCGGGCTGAGGGAACGCCCTCCCCTCTGAATGCACAAATTTTTGTGCACTGGGCCTCTAGTCTATATATATAAAAAGCCAGCGACCATAACATCAGAAAAACCCAAATGACCGGTCGTAATGACACCCACTGAGGCCAGCAAACCCGCCCAATCGTAGGTGGGGCTCGCTGGCCAACCACCTGCGGTCCCACCCCTTATTGGACTGCCCCACCCAGAATG